GATCTTGGACTCTTCAATGGGCTTGGATCTAATATATACTCTGGGAACTGGAAAAATGAAGTTTTACTTCTAGTCTTGATTTAATCAATGCCTTTTTATTTCTCAATGAACTAGGATTCAAGTCATTCTTTCGAGCATGGTGCAAGAACCTTTATTACCTCTCGAACACCTGTATTTTTAGGAAATCTTTGTGCAGTAATACACGATGATCTTTTCCAAAAGTGAATAAATTAATCTTATTTAAATTCAATGGAAGATGCTTAAAAAGAATTAATTTTCATTTCGAGAAACGACAATATTTATTTATGAGGATGAAAATGAATACATGGAAAACATTATGAAAAGTCAAGATATACATGAATACAGGTACATGCCCTAGATCTTGATAATCCAGACGCTTTTGAATTGATGCATCGTTAAGTGACTTTTGAGTGTAGTTTTTTTCAAGGGGACTTCGAAGATGTGACAATGTTTGGAAGAGCACATAGTTACTCCAAAATTACTAAATTCCCTGTAGGCTTGGATGTCGTGATGTTTTATTGCATTGATCTGGGACCTTCCCATACATGAATCCTGGATCGTTATCCAAGCTACCCTTTTCGAGTTTTCAACTTGGATCCTTCATTGGTTTCAAGATGTCCTTTACGAGTTTTCATCTTGGGCCCACCTTATTTTCCCTTTTTCAATTTTAGAGCGCTCTTTCGAGTTTTCACTTTAAACGTTATATATATATATATATATATATATATATATATTTGAAATTTAAATTAGGGCACCCTTTCGGATTTTCACCTTAAGCGAAATACTTCTTGACTGCATCAGAATTAACGGGATTAGGTAGTTTAGGTCCGTCCATTTTAGTCAAGATCAGTACTCTTCCGGAGAAGGTCATTCTTACGACATAAGGCTCTTCCCAATTTGGCATCCACTTTCCTCTGAAGTCTTTTTGGATTGGCCAGATCTTTTTCAGTACAAGATCTCCTTCATGGAATACTCTTGGGTGCACCTTCTTGTTGTGTACTCGGATCATTCGTCTTTGGTAAAGTTGACCATGGTGAATGGCTTTCAACTTTTTTCTTCTATTACGTTCATTTGATCATATCGAGTTTGCACCCATTCTGCATCATCCAGTTTAACTTCTGAAAAAACCCAAAGTGACAGTATTTCCACTTCACTGGGTAATACTGCCTCTATCCCATATGCTACTGAAAATGGGGTTGCCCCAGTTGAAGTTCGTACCGAAGTTCGGTAAGAAAACAAAGCAAAAGGTAATTTCTCGTGCCAATCCTTATATGTCTCAGTCATTTTCTCCACAACTTTCTTGATATTTTTGTTTGCTGCTTCAACTGCTCCATTCATTTTCAGTCTATAAGCAGTAGAGTTATGATGTTTATTTTAAATTGTTCATAAGAAGAATCCATCATCTTGTTGTTCAAGTTTGTTGCATTATCGGTAATGATTATTTCGAGTAAACCATATCGACATATGATATGCTTTTTCAAGAATTTCCAAATAGTGGACTGAGTGACATTGGAATATAATGCAGCTTCCACCCATTTGGTAAAATAGTCAATTTCTACAAGAATGAACTGATGACCATTTGAAGCACCTGGATGCATTTGTCCAATGACATCCTTGCACCACATAGAAAAGGGCACGGTGTCTTCATCGCGTGAAGAGGGTGAGGCGAAACATTTATTTTATTCCCATACATTTGGCACTTATGACATCTTTTAGAATAGTTGATGCAGTCGCCCTCCAATGTGAACCAGAAGTATTAGCATCTCATAACTTATCTTGCCAGCATATGTCTGTTTGTATGAGTTCCACAAACTATGTCATGTACTTCCTCCAATATCATATGTTCTTCTTCTGCATCTACACATCTTAACAAGACTTGATCATGGCTTTTCTTGTATAAGACTTCTACATCAAGAACATATTTGGCCGCCATCATTATGATTGTTCTTTTGTCAGTTTCGGTGGCTTCTTCTGGATAACCTTGATTTTTAATGTATTGAAGAATGTCATGGTACCAAGGTTTGGTGTCTTTTATCCCTTCGATTTGGTAACAATGAGTCGGGTACTCGTATGACTGCATGTCAATTGACATCATGTCAGAATCCTTCTTAGCTTTGAATGTTGCTGCCAAGGTAGTTAATCCATCGACCATTTGGTTTTCTTCTCTAGGCATATAGTGGAAAGTGACTTCGTCAAACTTTTTGAGTAGATCAAATATGAGCTTTCTGTATTCCACCAGCTTGGCATCTTTCGTCTCCCACTCTCCTCGGAGTTGATATATCACTTAATAAGAATATCCATATATCAGCAAAGACTTTTTATTATGTCCAATAGCAGCTCGAATCCCTAAAACACAAGCTTCATACTCTGCCATGTTATTAGTGAAATCAAAACTCAATCTTCTAGTGAACATGTAATGGTTTCCTTCAGTGAAACCAATATAGCCCCAATGTCGTGTCCTAATGCATTTGATGCACCATCGAAATGTATTTTCCAGAAATCAAATGTGGAAGTACATGCTTCTTCTAGAGATATGGCCATCAAGTCTTCATTGGGAAATCAAAGTCCAGTGGCTCGTAATTTTCAGAAGCTCTGTTTGCTAATAAGTCTGATATGAAACTTCCCTTTATAGCCTTTTGGGTCACATATTTAATGTCAAATTCAAATAATAGCATCTGCCATCGAGCTAACCTTACAGAGAGAGCAGGCCCACCTATCATGTATTTTAACAAATGTATTGTCTGAGTCTTCGTGTAGCCCAGACTAAAGCGCAACAAATTTTTTCAATAGGTGGATATCTAACCTCGCAATCGATGAACTTCATGCTTAGGTAGTAAATGGCTCGTTCTTTTCTTCCATACTCATCATGTTGTCCCAAGACACATCCCATTGAATTCTCAAAGATGGAAAAATAGAGAAATAAAAGTTTTCCTGGGATGGGAGACATTAAGACAGAAGTGTGAGACAAATCCTCTTTTATTTTCTCAAATACAGTATGACAGTCCTCATCCTATGTTCTAGAATTGTTCTTTCGAAGAAGATGAAAAATTGGATCACATTTGTCTGTCAACTGTGATATGAACCGCACGATGTAGTTCAGTCTACCCAGAAAACCTATAACTTCTTTCTGTGTTCGTGGGGAGGGTAGATTCTGAATGGCCTTGACTTTGTCTGGGTCAACCCAATATTCTTCCTGCTAACAATGAAGCCTAATAGTCTTCCAGATGTTACTCTAAAGGTATACTTGTTGGGATTTAGTCTCAACTGGAACTTTCTCAATCTTTGGAAGAGTTTTCTCATATTCTCGACATGTTCATCTTCAGTTTGTGCCTTGAAAATCATGTCATCAACATAAACTTCAATCTCCTTATGCATCAGGTCATGAAATAAGGTCATCATAGCTCTTTGGTATGTTACCCCAGCATTCTTTAATCCAAAGGGCATCACCTTGTAACAAAATGTTCCCCATATTGTGATGAATGTGGTTTTCTCAATGTCATCCTGATTCATTTTAATCTGGTTGTATCCTGAGAATTCATGTATGAATGACAATAAAGCATTTCCCACCATGTTGTCCACCAAAGTGTCTATATGCAGTAAGGGGAAGTTATCTTTAGGGCTCGCCTTATTGAGGTCTCGATAGTCGACGTACATGCGTACTTTCAGATCCTTCTTTAGCACTTGGACTATGTTAGCCACTCATTCCTGATACTTGGACACTTGAAGAAAGTCAACATCAAACTACTTCTTAACTTCTTCTTTTATTTTAAGGAGCATTTCAGGCCTCATCCACCTTAGCTTTTGTTGTATGGGTTTGAATTCTGGCTTGATGGAAAGTTTGTGGACTACCATATCCGTGTCTATCCCAGGCATGTCTTCATACGACTATGCAAACACGTCTTTTTACTCCTGAAGTAAGTCTATCAAGTTTTGTCTTATCTCCGATGAAAGTGTCGTGCCAATTTTAACTTCCTTCTTTTCCTCTTATGTGCCCAAATTCAATACCTCGATTTTCTCCTCATGTGACAATATTTATTTGTATTCTTTTTCCACTTTTCTTAATAATTCGGAAGGTAAGTTGAACTCTTTTTCATTGTCACATTCATCAATTTCCCCAAGACACTTTAGCTGTTCAAAATCCACCTCCGGGACATAATCATCATTGTCTGCATTATTAATATCTGAGGACTGAAAGGAAAATGGAGAAGATAAATGTGTATATGTGAGAAAAGGTATCCTACATGGAATGAAAACAAATTAAATATGAAAGAAAGAAAGAAAATGAAGAAGGAATAAATGTTTGCTGGAAAAAATTATATCTTTTATTGAAATATGAATAAAAACAATTTATTAACCCTTACAAAAGATCACATATTGCCCCAGGTTTAGGAAAATAGGGAAAGTCTGAGTATTACTCTGAAAGAGATTTGAGAACCATAGGTAGTTCTTCAGCGGTCTATTGTTAAGAACAAACCCTTGCGGTAACGGATGAATTCCAGATCTATCAGCATCTTCAGTGTTATCCGTTGTTACATCATTGATGCTCAAGTCTTTCAGAGATTCTTATGTATCAGGTAAGGCCATCATTGTTTCTTTCTCAAAAGCATAACCACCAAACCTGAATATGATGTGAAAAGAAGGAAAAGACATCAGCTCTCATTTAATTTCTTCTCCAGTCAATCTTGCCCTTTTTCTATCTTGGCACTTTTGAATCTTTTTTTTCCTCTATTGATGATTGAGTTAAAATCCGAGTTCGAACTGATCTATCTTAGTAATAAGAAAGACAAGTTTGACTCTTTCTTGTAAATAACTACCAAAACCTCTTCCTATCTTCACACCTTTTCTCAAAGTTCCAAAGAGTGGAACGAATAATCTAAGACCGGTCTTATTTCCATCTTGGTGTATTCCGAGAGTTTGGGTTTGGAAATCTTTCTCCTTTCATCCATAAATTTGGCATTAACAAATTCCAAAGAGTGAAACTAACACTCTAAGGCTTCCTCATTTATATGTATGTATGGGATGTTAGTGTTCACACTCGCCACTATATCCTCTTCAACATTAATGATTATCAAAGTTTCGTCAATGAAAAACTTGACTTTCTGGTGCAATGTTGATGGTACTACCCCATCTTGATGGATCCATGGCCTTCCCAGAAGGCAATTGTAAGAAAGCATAATGTTCATCACCAGGAACTCTATATTATAAGTGGCAGGACCATTGAATGCTTGAACCACACTCTGCCATGTTCTCATGTAGGAAATATCCATTGGTAGCCTTTTCAGAGAAACCAAAGGCATCACATTAAAGGCAGAGTAATTGTCAATTAACACACTTGGCAAGGCATGTCCCTTGCAATGAGTGTTGATGTGTAATGCTTTAGCTCAACATCTTCCTCCAGATGGAATCTCATCATCAGAAAATGAGATGAGATTATCAGCTTGGATGTTGTTAACCAATCGATCCATCTTGTTGAATGGTATGCCTTTTGGCACAAATGTCTAATTTAAGACCTTTAGAAGTGCTTCTCTGTGTATCTCCGAACTTAGCAAAATTGCCAACAATGAAATACATGTTGACAGGCTATGTAATTATTCCACGATGTTGTACTCAGTGTGTTATAGAAATTTTAGGAACTCCATAGCCTCTTATTCATTTATTAACTTATTTACTTCTAGCTTGTTTTCTTTAAATGATTCAAGTGGTCTTTGGGGTAAGTTAGACTTTTGGGAGTAGTATTTCCCAATAGTATGCCCCACTTCATTGACATATTCCTTCATAGTGTTCACTTGACATTCATACTTCCAAGGCACTTGTTTATTGTCCTTGTAAGGAAAAGGTCTTGGTGCCACTTTCACCACCTTTACATGTGTTTTATCTGTCGGTTTTACTTTAGGGGTGATTACCAAAGGATAACTTGTGCCATATCCTCTTTCGGATGAATCTCCTATAGCAAAAATATCAGCTTCTGGAGTGTCCTGGACTTCCTTGTAGAATTTCACCTCCTTCATATTCATCATGAGCTGAATCAAAGCTTTAAACTTTGTGCAATCTTGCACATCATGTCCTTCTTCATTGTGGTAACAATAATTATTACCGTCTTCACATTCCGGTGTGTCAGAATATGGTGCAAGAAATCCTGCTTTTACCATCTACCTCCATACCCAGGCTAGTAGAGAAGTTATTTCAGAAACACTTGTTTTGACCCTCTTGCTCCATTCCTCGACAATTGCATTAATTTCACTTTCTTGGTGGTTAGGCAGAGGGTTCTGTACAACGTTTAGTGAGTTTGAATTATTGAAATGGATCCAGTTCCTACTTCGTATCCTTTGCATGATTCTTTTAAAGGTGAGGCAGTTCTCGATGGCATGTCATGGAACTCCACCATGATTTCACAATGTGCATTTCCATCATACCACTCTGGATATGGGAGCTTTAAATGTTCCAATGGATAATGTTACACCACGTGCGTGTCGAAGAGTTATTGATAGAGTTCCTTAGAATTCATGGGAATATGATCAAATTATTCCCTCTATCTTTCTTTCCTTGATTCCCTTAAGTCTTGTATAGAAGTACCTGACGGTACAGCTGCGGTTGATTTTGAATTGAAGATTGTAACACCTTTGCTAGTGTTGAAACCATTGACGTTATTGATCTTTCATTCTCTTTTCTTTATAGTAGGTCTTCTGCTAGACTCACCTCCTTCAATTTTTCCTTGCCTAATGGTCGTTTCCATCATCTCCCCGACCATAACCAAATCAAAGAAGTTTCTAGACATAATGGAAACTAAATGCCCAAAATAAGGGGCCTTCAAGGTATGTATAAGAGCTTCCTTGTCTCTTTTTCATCCAATGACGATGAACTTGCACAGCCAAATCCCTCCATCGTTGTGCATACTGTCGGAAACTTTCGTTAGGCTTCTTTTTCAAGCCATGTAGCATAAACGATCCGGCCTGATATCGTTTACGTGCTTGTATTGTTCCAAAAATGACTTGGTGAGATCTTTCCATATCTGGATGAGTGAGTTGTTCAACTGATTCTAACACTTGATAGTGAGCCTGACAAACTCTCCTAGAAGTCGTGAATCAGGAGTTGGTCATTTCATACGTATCCTGTCATCTTTCGAAAGAACATGGTAATGTGAGCTGAAGGAAAAATGTTGCCATCGAACTTTTCGAAGTCTGGGACTTTAAATTTTGGAGAAATAATCAAATCTGGGACTATACTTAACTCTAAAGCATCAACTCCATAATAGTCGTTGTCTCGTCTTCATCTAGACTTTCAACTGGTTGATTTTTTCTCTATTTTCTTCATCTTTTCATCTTCATCAAAATTCGATACATGGTAGTCATCTGGATTATTCTGAGGATTGGATACAGAAGTCTGTACTTTTACAGCAGGTGAGACTTGTGCTTTCGTAGCGGATGAGTCCCCTTGAAGTTCTGGTAGGATTCCTAGTGAGATAATCACCTGCGGGGTAGGTGACACAGTTACTCCTTCAGATGTCCTTAACCCGGGAGTGTTGCCTGATTCAAGCTGGATAATTTTGGGATGATTTGATCAACCAAAGATTCTTGGCTTTTAGTGGTCGATTCCAAAGTGTTTGATTATTCTAACCTTATTTTTTTCTTCAAGCTCCCTTTGTAACCTCAGCATGTTCTCTTCGAGTTGAGCAATCTAAGCTTTCATTTTATTCTTTTTTGAACGGGTATTATGGGGATGAGTGTGTCCAATGAATGGGGTGGTATGTCTAGTGTTTGTTCCCTTTTTAATGAGACATTTTTCTGTTAATTAAAGTGAATGTAAAGAAATTAAGAGAAAAATAAAAAATGCAATATATGTAAAAATGCATGATGCATGAAATTTTCGAGGAACTTATCCAAAAATGCATCTTTAAGTATAAATAATCTTTATTGGGACAAAAGTGTTATTTCTTAAGAGACTAAAAACTGAAAAGAACATTCTGACTAAGTCCTCTAGACCCCTAACGACTTCTGACAGGTTTACAAGTCTTTTTCTTTCATCTGTCACCGACTGAATACCTTGTCAACACTCCAATTACTCTCGCCAAACCGTGCAAATGATGTGCGCTTTCCTTACTTGCTCTAAAAAGTCTCGAATAACCATATCCCTGGCTTTCACCTTTTGTTGAGCTTTCTCCCAACGAAAACGCCATTGAACTCCTCCATCAAAGGGAGCTATCTGAAGCTCCTATCCCTTCTTCTTGAACTTTTCAACAATGGCCTCCAATTCAGCTATTATTTTACCATCCTATTCTTGTTACCTTTGATGGGACCTTTCCAGGTCAGTAAGCTTGGTCCTCAATGATTTTTTCTTGTGTTGGTTTTCTAACCAACGTCTCTGGGAAGTCTTTAATTTTCTTTCAGTGTCTCCCACCTTTGAACTTCCTTTTCAGTTGTTGGCTTCACCTTTCCAGTATTCAGAAGATCTTTTCAGATTGGAGTTATTCTGAACTTGCTCCGGATACCCCTTGATAACTCTGTAAAAAGACTCAATTTCTGGTCTTTTCACTTAAGTTATTGCTCGTCTAAACAAAGTATGCACGGCATTCACTACAAGAAAATATACCTTTAATGACACACTAACGATGACACACGCTAATTTTTGACTTGCAAAAAATGTGTGTCATAAAAAATGTCATGTTTTTTAAAATCCGAATGATTTATGACTTACAATAATGTGTGTCATATTTAATAGTCATAATCTAAAAATTTTGCAAAAACACGAAGTACACTTTTAATTGTGTGTCATCTGTAAAAGTCGTATTTTAATTTTCCCCATTATTTTCATCATTTCCCACTTCTTCCCCTCGATAACAAAGTTCGCGCTGCATGTTTCCCCCATTTTTCTCTTTTCCCTTTTTCTCTTTACAACCTCCCACTGGCTTGGCCATTTACCACAACGCATACGAGGGATTTAAAATTCAAGGTTTCCACAGGCATTCCCCATTCTCTATTCCACCATTCAATTATAAACCACTTTATTTCGTCCCAAATCACTCACTTGCTAACAGGAAAAAAGAAAAAAGAAAGAAAAATCACCAAGCTCGGTTTCCCTGTTTCCATGGAGATCTAGGGTTTAATTGTTTCCCAGCTAAAAATCGAATTTCCTTGTTCACATTTTCAATTACTTACTATAAGTAAGTTTCTGAGCTCATATATGTTGGTTACATTCTTTTAAAGCTCATTACATTTGATCTGCGCGGAGACTTTTTTTAAGTTGCGTTTGGTTATGCGAAGAAAAGAAGATAGAGTCAGTTGTTGTTGGAGACGTAGCGTGTTTGGATCCGGAGCTATTGCAGCTCTTGGAGATGTCTCCTTTTATTCTCAAATCCAATCCCGAATTCATGCAAAAGCTTTTCGAGAAGTGGCTTTCGCTTCCCGATGCTTACAAGCTGGTACTTTTGCTTATCTAGTTTCGAATCCTCACGCTGTTTAATTTGTTTTGTTTTCTTTATATCTTGAATTGAAAATGATTTATCGTTATTTCCTTTGCATTTTTCTAGTCAATTATTTGCTCGATTATTTGGTGGTAGATCATTTATGAAATAAAAAAAAAAGAAACTTAATTTAAGCGTATGATAATGAAACTATTTGATGACATGTTATTTTGATTCTTCATGGTTTATTCAGTTCATTGTAGATATTTATGTGAACCATATATAAAGACTAAATTTAGGTAGCTTTTGGGAACTTGATTTTAGAATTTGGGTTTCAAAGATATTGTAAATTGAGTGATACAAATACTTGGAAATGTAACATTGATGATTATTTCTCAAATCTATGGATTTGTTAGACGTCTATATAGTAATGACTTTGGAATTACTAATTTATTTTTGGATTTAATCAATCCATATTTTTATACTTTTCATCCATATATTATATTGACTCTTAATTGTCTATCCACAGTATATGCATTTGATTCTTATCATTTACATAGCAAACGAAATCCAAGTCCAAATTTTCAAATTCTATTTCCAAATGGATTGGAGGATTAGGTAAATTTAGTGGATTACCTTGATGTGAAAGGAATATTTGACTGGCGATTGTTGATTTTCCATATATCTTTGTTCAGTAATACTATGTGCAAATTGATTATATGTTGGAGGCTTAACAGTTGTAACAATATTCTAGAATTTTTTTGTATATTCTTGAATGAGAGAAAGCCAATTGTCTCTTTTGTATTTATATATGGAATGTTTACCCTATCTTTGAAGCAAAATATTTGAATTCATATGATTTATTAAAATGTCCTCTGAGCCTAGGAGAGGAGTTGATTTTGTTTAATTTTTTACTTTGCAAGGTGACATCATTGGTTAATGATGCTAAGGCATGTAATCCCTTGACTGTTCCTGATAATGTTTCCTCTGGAAGTACATCAATAAGCAATGCTCTACCTTCCTTATTTCCTACTGGCAGTGCTCCTCCCCTTTCACCAAGAAGTGTATCTAGTTCTCCTCGAGTAACAAAACAAAGGACGGTCCTTCAAACTTAGGTTCTCCACTAAAAGTAGTTAGCAAGCCTGTGAAAGAGTTCAACCTCAGGTTTGGATCTTGTTTATTTGATATTATATTTTTCTTTTCTTGGTTTCTTGGTTGTGTTTTATCTGCTTTATTTTCCTTTCTATTCCGAAATCAGCTATAACTTGTTACATTTGTACTTGAGAGCACCTCCAGTTTTACTTCAAAAATGGCATCCGCCTCCAAATGATCTAAAAGAACAATGCATGTTTCGAATCAGTCAGTTTTTCTATGGACATCCAGATGGGTTGCAGCTGCTTGGTAAGATAAATGCATGTACTTTAACACATATTTCTGGAACTCGTAGTATATTCGTTTTCTACTTTCTATACATTTCAAATTCAAACTAGTGACCAAAGAAATCTGCAAACTGCCTACATTTTTATCCCGATCACTTTCAGAAAAAATTGATGTTAATAGCACTGGTGTGGTTACAAGGTATAATTTCTTGTTCATGGAAGTGGAACTACTATATTTATATCTCAGATGAATCATTTTATTTTAACTACTAAGATATTTATTTGAAAATTATGAGAATTTGGTGTTCTCCTTGTTGAGCCTTTTAAAAGTATTGTGTGCTCTAAATATAAAATTGTCATTTTAGAATCTGAC